TGGGTAGCCTAGTGGTTAAAGCGTTTGAAGACCCGGGTTTGAATCCCCATATGCGTACAATGTCTAAAGTCCATTTTTGGTGTCCAACCCTGACTGAAATATTGCTAAAACTCACTCACTCACTCACTCACTCCTGACTGAAATATTGCTAAAACCCACTCACTCACTCATTCACTTTATCAGTTTCATAAACATCTGAGGTTTGCATCGCTCTATGCTTTCATCAGACAGGTAAGATATGTTCCACATCTGGTATCCCTCATTGTGACGTTGCTGGAATATTGTTAAAACCAGCGTAAAAGCACACTCACTGCAAGAAAAAATAATATCTATCTTATTTTTTTATTTGATGATCGATTCCATATTACTGATTCCTTGCATACAAGGAGGTTATTTCCTGTTCAGGATTTTCAGAGGTCATAGGTTGAAGGGCACCTTTATTTGTACCCAGAATTCCCCTGGGTCTTACTGAACGGTAATTGGGGTAATTAGATACATGGTGCAATTTTAGTCGTATCCGTCAGGAAGTTTCTGAAGTTTTAACAGCAGCTGCCTCATCAATGAGGGCCTTTTTTAAATGTTAATTACTTGTTGACATTTTTGATTTATGATTTCAGGTCAGTAAGATCATGTGATTATTACACTTAAAAGTGTAATTAATCAACATCAGTCAATGTCAGTCACCTGAAGGAATCAGTTTTATGTTCTTCTTTAATGTTTACTGGCTGGGTAGCTTGTGGTCACAGTGCAAATGTACACTTTTAATGGTAAGACTCCAGTCTGTGGTAGAACTGAAAACTTTGGTGGACTGCAGTCAGTGGTGACCGCCTCCGTGGTGTAGTGGTTAGAGCGTCCGCCCGGAGCGCGGAAGGTCGCGGGTTTGATCCCTGACCGCGTCATACCAAAAAGACGTTAAAATATGGTACTTATTGGTCCCTGCCTGGCTCTCGGCATTAATGGGTACAACAAGGACTGGTTGGCTCGGAGTCAGTATAATGTGTCTGAGTGGGGTATTCATGCTTCACTGCAGCATGGTATCTCAGTGGGCTAGCACTATAAAACCAGCTTCAGTCTGGGCTAGTACAAGCAGCCGCACATACACATACACACGCATGCACAACGTCATATGAGCGAAATATTCTCAAGCACGACGTTAAACCCAATTTCACCTCACCTCCAGTCAGTGGTAGAACTGAAAACTTTGGTGGACTCCAGTCAGTGGTAGAACTGAAAACTTTGGTGGATTCCAGTCAGTGGTAGAACTGAAAACTTTGGTGATGGACTCCAGTCAGTGGTAGAACTGAAGAAATTTGTGGACTCCAGTCAGTGGTAGAACTGAAAACTTTGGTGGACTCAAGTCAGTGGTAGAACTGAAAACTTTGGTGGTGGACTCCAGTCAGTGGTAGAACTGAAGACATTTGTGGACACCATTGAGTGGTAGAACTGAAGACTTTTGTGGACTCCAGTCAGTGGTAGAACTGAAGAAATTTGTGGACTCCAGTCTGTGGTAGAACTGAAAACTTTGGTGGACACCAGTCAGTGGTAGAACTGAAAACTTTGGTGGTTGACTCCAGTCAGTGGTAGAACTGAAGAAATTTGTGGACTCCAGTCAGTGGTAGAACTGAAAACTTTGGTGGACTCCAGTCAGTGGTAGAACTGAAAACTTTGGTGGTGGACTCCAGTCAGTGGTAGAACTGAAGAAATTTGTGGACTCCAGTCAGTGGTAGAACTGAAAACTTCCAGTGGTGGAACTGAAAACTTTGGTGGACTCCAGTCAGTGGTAGAACTGAAAACTTTGGTGGTGGACTCCAGTCAGTGGTAGAACTGAAAACTTTGGTGGACTCCAATTAGTGGTAGATTAGAATCCTTCATCTGTTCAAGCTAGATAGGTTGAATGTGATTATGAATATTATTTTCATGATCATGTAAATTTATACAGATACATGAGTGAAGAAAATGTAATTGTTAACATCTGCTTTTCATACATGTAAGACTAAATTTGAATTGAATGTAAATGCATAGTTACATCCCTATGATCAAAAGCATGCATATGAAATCCTTTTATGGGAGGTGCATGCATGTATCAGGCGTGATGCATTCATACATGCACACAATGTTAGAATTGACAGAATCCTGAATGAAATTTTTCAGAAAGGAACAGCACGTTCCTGAATGAGCCCAGTGGCCATATTGTTTATTAAAATGGTGGAATATTAGTCTGCCATATTAACACCATTGGTAAGAGCTTGATGTTGTGAATTCGCCACCATATGTGTTGTTTTTGTTGGAAGCATAAACACGTTGAGAATGAGAACTGGAAAACAGTGCATTGAAAAAGTGTTGACATTTATATGTGAATGTATTCAAGGAGGAGGTGTCAAGTTTCAGCTTGTCACACAGTTTTTTACATTTTCCATAGATTTGAATATTTGACTAGAGTGAGATACGAGATTTATTGACTGGTTAAAGCCGTCACTTCATGCAAAATGGACTTGCATCCAAGGAGTGTCATTCGAGTGGTTTGAGGTGAAGAAAAAATGTACAGAATATAAATACTGAGTATAATGTATGAATCAGCCATTATTTGATGTTACATCATTGTTTTGTTGTTCATGTGTTAAAAGGGTTTGTTATAAAGAAGTTTGTATCCACAGCATCAGTTTCTGATGCTGTGATGTGAAGTTTGATGAACATTGATAAGAAAAGGCATTTTTAGTTTGTTTGTTGAGAGATAAACATTTTCTGCTGTGTATATTGCTCTGATTCTGCACATTCCAAACAATTTGATGATAACCAGTGGTGATGGAAGCGTTGGAGATTGGGAGATTTCATTTACACCTTACTTACCATTTGTACTAAGTTCAGAAAGGCTGTGTTAGTGCTTTGTGAAAGTGGGAAGGCTGGCCTAGTGGAGAGTGTTTACTCACAATGGAGTAGACCTTGGTTTGATTCTACTAAATGGTGCAAACATGACACTGGACATTCTTAGGCTTGTGGACCGCCTCCGTGGTGTAATGGTTAATGGCGTCCGTCCGTAGAGCGGAAGGTCGCGGGTTTGATCTCCGACCGCGTCATACCAAAAGACGTAAAAATATGGTACTTGTTGGTTCCTGCCTGACGCTCGGCATTAATGGGTACAACACGGACTGGTTGGCTCGGAGTCAGTATAATGTGTCTGAGTGGGGTATTTATGCTTCACTGCAGCATGGTATCTCAGTGGGCTAGCACTATTAACCAGCTTAAGTCTGGGCTAGTACAAGCAGCCGCACATACACATACACACGCATGCACATCGTCATATGAGGAAATATTCTCAAGCACGACGTAAAACCCAATTTCACCTCACCTCACCCCACCTCTTAGGCTTGTGGGCAGTGGGGAAGCCTTGTGGTTAAAGCGTTTGCTTGTCATGCTGAAGACCTGGTTTGATTCCCCACATGGGTACAATGTGTTAAGCTTATTTCTGGTGTCCCCTGCCGTGATATTGCTAGAATATTGCTAAAAGCCGCGTAAAACTAAAACTCATTTACTCTTAGACTTATGTTTCATATGATAGTTATTTTGAAAGATTGGATGGACTAGTCAGACTAGTGGACTGGTATCTGTATCTCATATAGTGGTGTCCCTCGACTGTGTTGGTGAGGGGAGTTGGATGAACATACTCCGAAGCACACTGCCCTGGCTAAGACCGAAACAACCATGTAATAGTTATTTGATGGTGAAGTATTAGATCAGGATGTCACAGTTGATGTTTTTACCTCCTGTATGCTGTGTTTAGTAATACATTGATAACACTTGTAATTTGTCAGTGTAATCAGTTTTTCAGTTGTCTATTTTCTTTGGCACGGAAGTTTTGCTTGCACCTAGTCCTCCATGGTGTCAGCGTCTGTTGTTGAGGAACTTAATCCAATACACTGAGACTGCTGGATACCCTGACATCATCCTTTAATGCATTGGTTTCTCCTGCTTAAGGGACTTGACCAAGTTTACTTTGACTGTTAGATACCCTGACATCATCCTTTAATGCATTAAGTTTTCTTAAGTACCCTGACTAACGCTTAGTCTCTGAATATATATCATTTTGATAGTAACAAATAATCCCATTTAAATTGAAAAGGAGCCCTAGGGAGACCTGAACCTAAGGAAATCTAGACTTGCATTGCGAGGAGGGCTGGGCAGTAGGGAAAATAATGTGGTTTAGGGACTGTGACACAGACTACTAAGTGAATTGACCACATCATCTGAAGTGTTAGTTTCTCATGCTTGAAGCACTTAACCAAGTTTGCGAGTCTGTCCTACAGTCCCTGAACAGCATTATTTTCCCTTCCGCCTAGCACTTTCTACCAAGCTAAAGACCAAAATGAAGCAAGTCTACATTTCCTCAGGTTATAAATCTCCCTTCTCACTTGGGGTCCTTTTCAATTTAAAAGTATTTGTTTGTTTCTATCGAAATTATACATATTAAAGGCACTGTTACATGATCAGGGGGCCGAGTGGTTAATGTGTTCGCTCGTCACACTGAAGATCCGGGGTTCGATTCCCCACATGGGTACAATGTGTGAAGTGGATTTCTGGTGTCCCTCAACATGATATTGCTGGAATGTTGCTTAAAGTGGTGTAGAACTAAACTCACTCATTCACTGTTACATATCCAGAAAGATGTCCTCTCTAATTATAGCATTGACTCCTCATGCTGATGACCGTGTTTGATTCCTACTTGGATACAATGTGCAAAGCCCATTCTTGGTGTACCCTCTCCTAATGAAGCTGGAATGTTGCTAAATGCAACGAAAAACCACACTCAGTATTTCTTCACAAGCCGAAAGCAGGTTATATCCTTTTATATCGTAGTGTCCTTGTACGCAAGTTGTTTCACTCATCGTATGGCTGTTGTTTTTGAAGCATGAAGAATGTTAATTACACTGATTTGGAACGTAATTATACAAGAATGTCACTTTGTTTGAAGTGATTTGTTATGATGCAGTTTTTTTCATCTGCAGGGAATGGATTCTGAGATTTTGTGTCAACCAAAGTGTACTGTTTGCTGCCAAATCTTTGACTGTTGGTGAGTACAACCTACATTTGTTGTCATGCATACACTTCCATTTTCTTCACACTGCAAGTCATAATGTTTATATATTAATTGGGTATTTGGGTGATTGCTTGAAATAAAAGGTTTAAAATTTCTTTTCACTTTCCTGAAAATGAAAATCTAAGACCCAGCTAAATACAATATGTCGGCATCAATAATCGTCAAGAGATGAAAAAATGTAAACATAATACTGTTTTCCTGTTAACTATTTGTTTACAAACATTCTGAAGAGAGAGCACCTCCACAGGAAACTTCAACTATGTACATGCCTCTGAGCCAGGATACTTTTTACCATATGTTAATGCCCCATGTGAACATATCAAATCATAACTTTCCTAATGATTTGTAAACATTTCCACATTTCTTAAATATGCATATGCCATATCATACAATGTCCTTTGGTATTTTAGTGAATCTGGAAAAACGGACTTGTGCTTTCCACCCTCACCAAACTAGTGTTTAAGATTTGGATAAGTTCCAGCATGATGTGATTGAGCATGAATGTATACCAGTTGCTCCATTTAAAACCGTACTTGCAAGTTAAATAATTCTTTCAGAAATCAAGGGTTAGTGAACAAGTTAGACCTAATGTTTATGAAATTTAAAGTCTTGCGCTTCTATGCCCCTTCTTTGCTTGTGTTTACTGTAAAGCAGTCTGCATTAGGTCTAAGAAAATATGTACTGTTGTGTTAATTTTCAGCCTTAGCTTAGGGCGCTTGTAAAGATTACTTACAGATACTTCTAGAAGTTGCTCAGAGTTGCATACTAGAAAAGGCACTTAAGGAGCAAGTAATATGAAAATATTGATTGCAGTTTGGTTGTGAATATCAGTTTTCCTGCAGATATTAAGTCAGGAGGACAAAATTCATATCATTCGTAAAAAGTATTACATGTTTGAAAAGAAGTAAAATGACTTGTACCTAAAACAAACCTAACTTGATCCGACTCAATCATTGAAATGGCACCGACGACAAACAACAGGAACCTGTTTCAAACTCATAATTATCGGTTTTTATTTCGCTGACAATTTCACCTACCATGTTATACCATCTGTTTTATGCTATTTTAATTTTTCAAACTTGAATTTGGTCAAGCCTTTATAATTGTGCATGCACTATAGTATCAAAATCTGCAAAGATTCAACATTCAATTAGTTTTCCATGTGAGATGGTGAATACGGTATTTATCACATGGAGCAGGACTGTGCTTAATATTCAGGATGTATAATGATATTAATGTTAATGTTTAACAATTCTCCATCTGCTGAGTATACAATTATTCTCAAGCAGACAAGACTTAACTAATATTGTCAGTCTTGAGATTTGCGTTCTAGAGCCAGAAGAAACTAACTGGTGAAATGTTTTCCTGAAAAGACAAAGATGGATAATTGTCAAATGGTTAACACTTCAGATTTAGCTGGGTCTTTAATTGGTTCCCAGGAAAGTAAAAAAGAATATTTGTAAAACATTTACCATGTACTCAAAGAGGCGAAAAACAGATGGTCTTTTTTTATATGATGTCACTGTTGACATGTCTAACAGCTGTACACGGAGTCATCAAGTTTGCCAAATCTTATTTGTCTCACTTTCGAGAGGAATAAAAACTTTTGTTGAAATGATAATTAGCAACTTTTAAGAAATTATTTCACAGCGTCATGACACGTGCACATGTACATAAACACATCGTGTAGTTTTTATCACGGTTCACACTGAACATACCATGTCAACTTTGTATGTGTGAATGTGGAAGTTCAGACTGAAAGAAGAGATTTTGCTCCAAGACAAGAAAGCTGATCAAACCTGTGATTGTTGGAACCATCGCTACAGTTTTACAAGGCCATGATTTGAAGGTGAGACATTTTACTTTTGTTGTTCATGTTTTAAATGTAAATTGTTCCTTATTAATTCTATATCACCTAATATTTGCCCATATGGATGTTCTATTTATCGGTGATGCGGGATTATAAATTATATTGTTTTGGGGATTAAATTTGTGATAATATGTTGACGAACACATCCTTCCATCCTAACCTGAAGGAAATCAGTTCTTGTGGTGTTGAAATGAAAAGGAGTTATGTGATAGGGGAGGTAACTCTTGGTAGCTTGGTGATAAAGAGTCATGCTGCATATTCACCAAGTTCTGGGACTTTCAAGCAGAGATTGTATGACACTTCTAATGAATCAGATTAGCTTTGGTTGTTCTTTGTGCTTTTGAATTTATGTCTCGATTTGAAAATTATTTAAGATCATCAGATGCTTTTGCTAAAAATTAAATATTATTTTTACTTTAAATTTGATTCTGAGACTAAAAGCAGAAGTTTTATTGAAAGCTAACACGAAGTTACCAAGACAACATTTAAAAATCGAGCCGAAGTTGTAACAAAGGTTCATGCATAAACGTTATGCGACTCTTGTTCCAGTTGTTCAGACTTTATGAATATTTATATTGTCAATTGATCACAGTCATCGCTTGACATTTATGGAAGCTTTTGACACTTATTATGGGGAACAAATGTACAGATCTGTAGGAGTTAAAAGAAGTTGTGGGATATCACTGTCTGCTTTATTGCAGTTGAATATTATTCCTTTTTTTATTATTTACCTATTCTAATTTTCATATAACATATATTATAACAACATTATATTATGGTTCTTAATGAAATCCGTGAAAAGTTATGTTTCCATTCATAGTTCTGTATTGTCTTCACAACAAATATTTTGTTTGTACTACCAGTTGATCAGCTTTATGAGTCAGTGTTTTACATGACGCGTGATTCCTGCGTATTTGATGCAACAATTTTGTTAACGACTCACAACATATTATCATGCGAGTCAAGCTTGACGCAAATTTTATAGGTGGCCCTCACAATTCAGTTCAGTAAAATTGATTTGATAAGCAAAAAATGATATTGTTCGATGATAGTTTGACTTTTACAGAGCTGTCAGATTGTTCCAGAGAACTCAGAGGAGACAGTAATCCTGGCTGTTTGAATTGAACAATGCTGTAGTTTCATTTGGTGGTGTGACATACACAGTTACATACTGAGAGTGATTAACACAAAGAAATGTTAAATTTACATGATTCCCAAATATTGAAAATGACTCAAAAATATAAATATTGTGAGTCACCATGACTCCCATTTTTTAAAAGTCTGTGTAAAACCCTGTGAGTGGAGGTGAAAGTTGAAGTAAGGTGATGAAATTCAGGCTAACAGTGCTGACCAATCCACAGTATATGTGCTTGTCAGAGGCATACACCCCTCAAGGAAACATTAGAAGCATTTGTTCAAAGTTAGGTTGACTGACAGTCTGTTTGATTCAAATTTTCATTTACAAGCTCGTTCATGACAGCTCCACTTGAGAACATTTATCAAGAAAGTTCAGGAAGTCCCTCACGGTGAGATCTTGAGCCCTTCGGAGGTGGTTGTGGGGTTTGAAGTTGTCAGCTACAAATGTAGTCTCAGCAGCTTCTTTCAGGAACACAGTGTTCAACAGTAATGGGTGTTAAACAGTTTTCAACACGTGTGACTAGAATGGAATAAAAAACATTTTCCAGAATCACTGATAGATATTTTTGGGCCATGTGCTTTTAATCTTGTTTAGTTGTCCATCAGCAGTTTAATTGTTCAATGTCTGGAATTTGTCGAAAATATACACATGGAAAGAAATATGTGTACAGACACCATAATGGCAGTTGCTGATCATGACATCCATGTATCCTTCATTTTTTGCTGTCAGTATACTACAGTATTAGTTGGTTATTTTTTAATTAATGACACAGAGTTTATAAAAATGACAAGTTGATTTTAAAGGGGAAGCTGTGGTCAGTGTGCTGCTCTGGCAAGTGGAAGTCCAGTTTGCCAGAGAGTCTCTGTCGACATTTAGAAGGTGGATGTAATCCTGACAAGGGGTATCCTAGATAACAACTTTTCATTGTTCATTCATCAGAAGAGTTCACTAACGACACATTATAGACTGTTAATTAAATTTTTTTTATCTATGCACATCCAAAATATCTAACGTTACTATCAATCCTTTTATAGCACTGTATTGAAATAATTTCATAAGTCAGTAAATTTTGTGTCAGTGACTCCTCTAGTGAAACTAGGGACGGTGGGTTATCCTAGTGGTTAAAGCTTTCTCTCGTCACACCGAAGACCCAGGTTCGATTCACCACATGGGTACAATGTGTGAAGCCCATTTCTGGTGTCCCCTGCTGTGATATTGCTGGAATATTGCTAAAAGCGGCATAAAACTAAACTCACTCACTTTTCATAAATGTTTAGATCTCAGATACGTTTTCATAATCAAAGATGGGTAGTGGGTAGCCTTGTGGTTAAAGCGTTAGCTCGTCACGCCGAAGACCCAGGTTTGATTCCCCACATGGGTAAATTGTGTGAAACACATTTCTTATGTCCCCTGCCATGATATTGCTGGAATATTGCAAAAAGCGGTATAACTCACTCACTCATAATCAAAGTCAGTGTTTCTGATAGTAGTACACATGAAAGACTTTAATTTTCAGAGTTGTGTTTTGATGTTATTGAGAACCATTGTAACAAGATCTAGTAATTTGGCCCTGTGACAAAAAGAAATATTTTTCTCTTGGTTTGATGTAGAGAATTTTACCTTATATTTTTTGTTTCCAGTTTGAGACCTCTAATCTCTAGTTTGAAACACAGCAGGTCATTCTCCTAATTCAGTGTTGGCACATGGGTTTGCTCAGCATGCTCAGAAGAAAACTCCAAGCAATTAACTTGTCACCTTACAACTTCATAGACGTTTTTCAAGAATTTATAATGATAATCATTTTGACACAAAGCTGTGGGATTGGCCCAGTAATTATTAATTTGCAGTGTCTCATCCTTGCATTATGGGTCACTGTGACCTTTCTCCTTGGCCTCATTAAATGCTTCCGATAGAATTAAGCGATAAAACCATGTATGTGCGTTACGGCTGATATCGCTGACCTCA